AACATATAATCTCGGTGATCGGACGTCTGCGCCAAAAAAACAAGATATGTTTTTAAGTTGTTCTAGACCTGTCGATGTGTTTGTTGGTTGATTGTTTTGGTGTTCTATGGCTCTTATAGAACTGTTGCCTCTTTGGCGGCACTGGGTGATTCCGCCCCCCCCCGCGTTGCTACTCTATGATTTACGAATTGATGTTGATACTGGGGAACCGTGCGCCTGCATGTGAACGCACAGCCGTTGATACATGATCAGTGCTGTGTCGGTTGAAACATATTTACGCAACATCGTCAATTCTCACAACTACCCTCTTTCCTTTGTTCTGCTGCTCTGCCATATCCTACTCTAACATGTTATTCCTCCTCGCTTCCCTCCTTGCCACCCCTGCCTTCGAGTGATTCGTGTTGCGCAATGTGACTTCAAGGGGCGATTCAATAAAATAGCTGTTGGCGGTTGATGACAGCGGTGCAGATGTTGACGAGTTACGCGCATGGACGGTTCGGTTCCCCAACCCACAAGTGGGCCCACCTATTCCCCTGGCCCCGAGGCTGGAGCCGTCGGAGGAACTCCCTATGAGGACACGAAGCGTGTGGAGGGCGCGCCGAAAGGGACCCGAGTAGGCATGCGAACCCTGCAGCTGGAGCCTTCGGAGAAGCTCCCTATGGGGCCGCCAAACGTGTCAGGGGTGTGCAGAGATGGACCCGAGTACGCATGCGAACCCTACAGCTGGAGCCTTCGGAGGAACTCCCTATGGGGACACGAAGCGTGTGAAGGGCGCGCCGAAATGGACCCGAGTAAGCATGCGAACCCTGCAACTGGAGCCTTCGGAAAAAATCCCTGGGGAGCTACGAATAGTGTGAAGACTGTGCCGAAATGGACCCCAGTACGCATGCGAACACTGCAACTGGAGCCTTCGGAGGAACTCCCTGTGGGGCTACAAAACGTGTGAAGACTATGCCGAAATGGACCCCGGTACGCATGCGAACCTTACCTCTTGAGCCTCCGGTGCTCCCCATTGGGCCACGAAACGTGTGAGTGGTATGCCGAGGTGGACCCGAATAAGCATGCGAACCATACCACTGGAACCTTCGGTGGAGCTCCCTATGGAGCCACGAACAAGTGTGAGGGGTATGCCGAAGTGGACCCGAGTACGCATGCGAACCCTGCCACTGGAGCTTTCGGTGGAGGTCCGTCTGGGGCCACGAAACGTGTGATGAATGTGCCAGAATGTGCCCGAATACGCATGAGAACCTTGCCGCTAAAATCTCAAGTGAAGCTCCCTGTTGGGCCATGAAACTTGTGAGGGTTGTGCCGCAATGGACCCGAGTACGCATACGAACCTTGCAACAGGCGCTTTCGGAGGAACTCCCTATGGGGCCGCCAAACGCGAGGGGTGTGCCGAAGTGGACCCGAGTAAGCATGCGAACCCTGCCACTGGAGCTTTCGGCGGAGCTCCCTATGGGGCCTCGAAACGTGTGAGAGGTGTGCCGAAGTGGACCCGAGTACGCATGCGAACACTGCAACTGGAGCCTTCGGAGGAACTCCCTGTGGGACTACAAAACGTGTGAAGACTGTGCCGAAATGGACCCCGGTACGCATGCGAACCTTACCTCTTGAGCCTCCGGTGCTCCCCGTTGGGCCACGAAACGTGTGAGTGGTATGCCGAGGTGGACCCGAATACGCATGCGAACCCTACCACTGGAACCTTCGGTGGAGCTCCCTATGGAGCCACGAACAAGTGTGAGGGGTGTGCCGAAGTGGACCCGAGTACACATGCAAACCCTGCCACTGGAGCTTTCGGTGGAGGTCCATCTGGGACCACGAAACGTGTGATGAATGTGCCAGAATGTGCCCGAGTGCGCATGAGAACCTTGCCGCTAAAGTCTCAAGTGAAGCTCCCTATTGGGCCATGAAACTTGTGAGGGTTGTGCCGCAATGGACCCGAGTACGAATGCGAACCTTGCAACAGGCGCTTTCGGTGGAGCTCCCTATGGGGCCGCCAAACGCGAGAGGTGTGCCGAAGTGGACCCGAATACGCATACGAATCCTGCCACTGGAGCTTTCGGTGGAGCTCCCTATGGGGCCACGAAACGCGTGAGAGGTGTACCGAAGTGGACCCGAGTACGCATGCGAACCCTGCAACTGGAGCCCTCGGAGGAGCTCCTTATGAGGTCGCCCAACGTGTGTGGGGTGTACCCAAGTGGACCCGAGTACGCATGCGAACCCGTCACTGGAGCTTCCGGTGGAGCTCCCTATGGGACCACGGAACGTGTGAGGGGTGTGTCGAACTGGACCCGAGTACGCATGCGAACCCTGCCACTGGAGCTTTCGGTGGAGCTCCCTAGGGGGCCACGAAACGTGAGGGGTGTGCCCAAGTGGCCCCGAGTTCGCATACGCACCTTGCCACTGGAGATTTCTGTGAAGCTCCTGATTGGGCCACGAAACGTGTGAGGGGTGTGCCGAGATGGACCGAAGTGGACCCGAGTACGCATGCGAACCTTGCAACAGGCCCTTTCGGTGGAGATCCCGATGGGGCCACAAAGCGTGTGGATCGAGATCAGGATGATGACGACGGCTATGCTGCTGATGGTGATGATGATAATGGTGATGATTAGTAAAGTGATGGCGACGATCATGATGAAGATGTTGAGGATGATGGTGATGATGATGATGATGATGACGATGATGATGGTGATGTTGGTGCTGAAGTCGATGATGATTGTGACGATGATAATATGATGGTGCTGATGATAGTGATGATGCTGATGCTGACGATGATGATAGTGATGGTGGTGGCGATGGTGATGATGATGCTGACGATGAAGATAGTGATGGTGGTGGTGATGGTGATGATGATAATGATCATGATGATCATGGTGATGGTGGTGAATGTGGTGATGAGAAAAGCCAAGGATAGTGATGATGATGATGATGCTGATGATGCTACCAATGATGATGTTGATGATGACGGTGATGATGATGATGATGATGATGATGATGATGATGATGAGTCAGTGATGGTGTTGATGATGATAATGGTGATGATGATTCTGATGATGGTGATGACGATGATGATGATGAAACGGAGATGATGATGATGATGATGCGAAATTATGATAGTGATGATGATGCTGATGATGATGGTGATGATGATGATGCTGATGATGATGCTGATGATGATGGTGGTGGTGATGATGATGATGACGAGTCTGACGAGGATGAGGCGGACGATGAGAGGAAGGATGGTGAGGAGGAGAGAAGGATGGGGAGGAGGGGAGGAGAAGAGGAGAAGACGCGCGGCGCTGCGGATTCAAAACGAGGACCAAGCGCACAGAAGGGTTGGGAGAAAAAAAAATCCAGAAAATCCGCGGATCCGGCATGTGAGTCTAAGATATTTGGATCACATGTGTCATTAATTGGTCTATGTTGTACTTCAGTTCTTCTTTGAGCTGGTGTCTTCTATTCTCCAGTTACACATCTACATATCTGTGGGATTACATAACATACTTGACGTATCTGCATGTGATGCTATGCCCTGACGTTACGTGGGGCTGGGAGGGACCACTCCTGAACAACGGTCGCCGCAGCTCTTCGAGTTGCGTGGTGTCCTCACACGCCTACGGATTGGGGACACAGCTTGGTTCTACCCCCCCGTGTGAGAATGAGAAGTCCAAGCTGAAGCTCTGCTTCAGCATGAGCTTTAGCTCTGCTTGGGAGGGGGGGAGAGGGGGGGACGTAATTACCTGACGAATTAAGTGCTCGGCACCCCCCCCCCCTGCCAGCCCCCAGGAGAGAGGGGAGGGGGGAGGGGGGGGGGCACAGGAGAGGGGGGGGGAACAGGAGAGAGGGGGATCACCACCACCATCGTCACATCACCATCACCATCATCATCATCATCAGCATCATCATCATCATCATCATCATCATCATCATCATCATCATCATCATCATCATCATCATCATCATCATCATCATCATCCGGAGCGCCCCGGATCCTGGCATCATCATCATCATCATCATCATCATCATCATCATCATCATCATCATCATCATCATCATCATCATGATCATCATCCGGCACTGGCCGGAGGCCACTGGAGGCCACTACAATATCACAGATCCCAGCGCCCCAGGGATGGCCAGGTAGGAGGCAAGCTGGCACGCAGGAAGGAGCGAGGTGAGAGCAGGAGAGAAGGGGAGAGGTGGCGGGAAGAAAGGAAGGTGAGCGACCGCAGTGCTCTATTCAAAACGAGAACCCAACGCAGGAGGGTTGGGAAATATATGTCCCCAGGGGCTCCTTGAGGGATCGTTCCCAGGCGTGCGACGGGGAGGATCGCGACTCGGCTCACGCGGCCGGCTTCCCCGGCGCCTCCAAGACACCAGAGGCGCCAGTGCTACAGTGCTACAGGGGAACAAACAACGCCATGCGAGGCCTCCGAGATGGGGTCGGAGTAGATGGGGTCGGAGGATCGCGCCGCATCGCCGATGCATTGGCGATGTATCGACGATGCATCGGCGATGCACCGGCAACGTCGGCGGTGCACTGGCGACGTCGGCGTGGAGAAGCTCGGGCTCCACATCGAGCCGCATCGACGATGCATCGGCGATGCGGCGCGATCCTCCGACCCCATCTACTCCGACCCCATCCAGTAGGCCTAGAGACATAGGCGGAAAGGTCAGACGACCGCGCGGATGCCTCGGATCGGCTGTGGGGCCCCCTGGCGCGCTCCGCGCGCCGGGGAGGGGGGTCCAGCGCTGGTCCGAGGAAGCCGCGCGGACCTCGGAGATGTGTATTGCCCTGAGCGTGTCGGGGAGAGCGCGCGGCGCCGGGGCCGAGGCCAGCTGCATATGCAGCAAATTTCGCCTCCCCCCCTTTTCCAAGCCCTCCCGTTTCGCTCGACCCAGAGGGAGGCCGTGGGGGCTACCGCTGGGCCAAGGCCATCGACGCGACGGCAGCACCCTCGGGGAGCGGTGAAGGCGCATCCGTTTGGGCGGGGGCGCGCCGGGAGGAGTGGCTGTAGACCTGGGGGAACTCCTCGGCGGGCGTCGCCAGCCGCGAATCCGCGCCGCCGCCGCCGCCGCCGCCGTCGCCGTCGTCGGAGGAGGGGGGAGAGCGAGACAACGAGCCTGCCGTCGACCAGGCCCCCGAGAGGCCCGAAAGCAACCCCAAAACGCCTCCAAGAGGCGTTCGAAAGGCCTCTCAGGAGATCCCAACATGCATCCAAAAAGCCAGTAACAAACAACCAAAGCACGGCGGCGGAATGGGCCGAAGGTCACAATGATGTATTTGATAATCATATGCAACCGTCTATATAATAAACATATGAATGTACAAATACATATATATGACCTGTATACATGCACAACTACAATCATTCATAAATGTTTGCATACATACATACATACATACATACATACAAAACTATACATACATACATACATACATACATACATACATACATACATACACACACATATATACATACATACATACATACATACATACATACATACATACATACATACATACATACATACATACATACATACATACATACATACATACAGGCAGGCAGGCAGGCAGGCAGGCAGCCGTACATACATACATACATACATACATACATACATACATACATGCATGCATGCATGCATGCATGCATGCATGCATGCATGCATACGTACATACATACATACATACATACATACATACATACATACATACATACATACATACATGCATGCATGCATACATACATACATACATACATACATACATGCAACATGCATGCATGCATGCATGCATACATTCAGGGAGAGATATGCATGTGTATACATACATATATATATAGGGGGGGGGGGGGGGCGGCACCCCCTGGCACGACCCCCCCTCCCGCCTTCCTGGGGTATTTCATACAGGGCGCACCGACGACCCCCCCATCTCCAACTTTCCCGGGAGGTTCCGAACCGGGCGCAGCGACGGACCCGTCCTCCCCCTCAACTGTGGTAGTGGAGCGGGGGGCTCCTGTGGGGGTAGGGGAGGGCTCCTGTGGGAGTGGGGGTGGCTGCGTGGAAGTGGGGGGTGGGTCTATGGGGCGTGGGCCCACCCCCCAGATGGATGAATGGAGGTATGAATGGATGGACGGATCGACAGACGACGGATATGAGATAGATGGATCACAAGAGATGGCGGGAGGCGCTGGTACGGAGCGAAAGGGATGGAGAACCAGAGGAGGACGAGAAGGAGGAGGAGGAGGAGGAGGGTGGGAGACTGGAGAAGAGGAGGAGGAGGTGGGGGTGGACGACAACTGGATACTGGATTGGCGGCTGAACGACGGGTCCTCCGTTGAAGGAGGAGGAGGGGGCAGAGGAAGAAGAGGGTCAGCAGGATGATAATGACGACGAAGATAACAATGACGATGACGATGACGATGGCGATGACAGTGATGATGGTGATGATGATGGTTATGATGATGGTGGAGGTGATGGTGGTGGTGATGGTGATAATGAGTATGATGATGGTGATGATGATGATGATGATGATAATGACGATGATGATGGTGATGATGATGTGGATGATGGTAATGATGGTGATGATGGTGATGATGGTGATTACTATGGTGATGATGATGATGATGACGACGATGATGATGATGATGGAGAGATGATGGTGATTGTGCTGATGGCACTGATGAAAATGATGATAACAATGATTATAACGATAAGAACAATGTCACCATTGAATGCACTGATAAACGAGTAAGAACAATAATAGCAACAACACGAATTAAAATGATATCCCGAACGGCATAAATCATAGTATTTAAGCATAGTAATGCCAGTAGTCATTTGAAAAGCCATGATAATAATGGAATAGTGATAGCAATAAGAAGAACAGAAAATAGTAACAATAGCGATGATAAAAAGAATAATAATATTTATAATGCTACAATATGAAGAAACAACAACAACAACAACAACAACAACAACAAGAACAACAACAAAAACATGACAACGACAGTAATAATAATAATGCCAACACCCATCATGCATCTGAAAATAACGATAATACAAAAACAACAAACATGAGGATGATGATGCTGATGATGATGATGAATATGATGATGATGATGATGATGATGATGATGATGATGATGATGATGATGATGATGATGATGATGATGATGATGATGATGGTGATGGTGGTGGTGGTGGTGGTGGTGGTCATGATGATGAGGAGGAGGAGGAGAGCCGAGGAGGGCCGAGGAGGGCGATGGAAGGATGAGGAATCGAGAGGACCGGTGAGGAGTGCCGAAGAGTACGACAGAGTGGAAAGAGTCGAAGGAGGGGGCGGAGTGCCGGGAAACCTCCAGAGATTCTAGGGGCCTCTGGAGGTCTCTAGATGTCGTCGTCGCCGTCGTCGTCTTCGTCCTCGTCCTCGCCCTCGTCGTGCTCGTTCTCGTCGTCTTCGTCGTCGTCGCCGTCGTCAGCGTCGTCAGCGTCGTTGTCGCGGCGATGAGGGCATTGAAGCGGGGAGGAATCGGAAAAGAGTACCAAGGAGAGCCCAGGAGTGCGATGGGCCGGGGAGGAGTGTGGGAAACTGGGAGGGGAGCCGCGGAGCGCGATGGATTGGGGATGAGCCTGAGGATGAGCGAGGAGGAGTGCTGAGGAGTGGGATTGAGTGGGAAGGAGTCGGGACGAGTGCATAGGAAGGCCGCAGAGTCCGATGAAGGGGGGAGTCGGGAGGAGCGGTGAGGAGCGCCGAGGAAAGCGATGGATTGAGGAGGAGGAGTCCGAGGAGGCGGGGGGGATCCTGGGGAGACCTCCGACGTACACATGGACTTCCGAGGGCGTCTGGAACCCTACTCCCAGAAACCACTGGGGCTTCTGGGGGCCTCGCGGGATCTTTGAATGCCTCGCCGTCGCCGCCGCCGTCGTCGCCGCCGTAGCCGCCAACGCCTCCGCTGGCACACACACACACACACACACCGGGCGTTCCCACGCGCTCTGAGGCTGCGCGTTGGGGCCATCCTGGGGGGTTCGTACCGGTCCGCACCAACGCTGCGTCCCGAGAGTTTCGTACCGGGGCGGACCTGCCTGCCGGGTGGTTTCGTTCACCCCACGTGGTTTCGTATCGGCACGCACCAGCGGTGCGGCCAGCACGAAACCCAGGACGAGCGATTATGCGGGGGGTCGCTCCGCACCAGGCACCGCTCATGTTGAGATATTCACATATATATATATATCCTTGCGTACATACACATATATACGTATACACACATATATATATATATATATATATATCCTTCGCCAAACAACGCTCTCCCAGGCCTGCACCTGTTTTTTCTATGTGAGGCGCAGATCTGGCTACAGGCCCCGATGCCACGAAGGCTGACTGAACAGGCACCGGATGCGCCAGCAGGACTTAAAGACACAGACAATCCAGGTGGATGAAACGAAAAGCGAGAAGAGGAGGGGGGGAGGGAGGGAGCGATTTTAGCACAAATGTGGCACCGTGCGGCGGTGGCGAAAGAGCTGGACTGATACCAGGATGCCCGTTCGCAGAACTACAATCCTTCGCCAGACAACGCTCTCCCAGGACTGTACATGTTTTCCCGCGTGAGGCGCAGATCTGGCTGCAGGCTCCGATGCCACGAAGGCTGGCTGAACAGGCACCTAATGCGCCAGCAGGACTTAAAGACACAGACATTTCATCAACACGCATAGTATGACTCTGGCCAGGGCCCGCTAAAACTAAGGATGAATCCGTGCACACATTTTCTCCAGGCTTGAACTAGCAACGGAATTGAAAAGCACGAAGCTGCTTGCAGGGCAAACTTACTGAGGTGGCAGCGCTGCTCGTCAACTTCGAACCCTCAAGCACTTGGTGGCGGCAGCCAGTTCGAGAGCAGAGTCCCTTCTTTTCCAAGCAGATGCGACGGAGCCGATCGAGCCCTGCGACCCACCATCCCTGGATGCGGGTCCGTTTTCGATAGACGGCTCCGCATTGGCAATTATCGAGAGTAACCTTAATGCTGCACGAACGTTCACAAATACTGACAACGGCAGGAATGTTCCAGAGAGCGGACCCAGCAGGGTTCTCAAGGAGTACAGCATCCCTGTGACGCACGCATGCTCTAATCACGGCGACGGTGAACAGGGCCGTGGCGTTGCCGACCTCGATGCGCTCGCGGTCGGCGGCACGCGCCCAGGCGCCTGGACGACCCCAGATGCGATCGACATCGCGGAGCGGCCCACCGGGGCAGCCCGCCTGACCACGCCGAGCGGCGCTCCAGGACGAGCACGGAGTGCCCAGCCACGCCCCGTCGATCAGCTTCTGCCTGATCCAGCTGAGCAGCACCTCTTGGACCCGTTCGAGAACGAGGCCCTGAAAATGGCTGCCGCGCACCTCGACAGCGACGGCGCCGCCGAACGACCGCAGACACGCGGCGATCCGCGCGGCGCCGGCGAAGAGCTCCAGGAAGAGCCCGCCGCCCTGGCGCCCGCGCCTCGCCCGGGCCACCTCGGCCGCCAGGCGCTGCTTCAGCGCCGCAGCCGCGCCGCGGCCGGCGGCGGCACCGGCGGCGGCAGATCCCCGAGGAAGATCGCCGGCAGGTTCGCCCCGACCCTCCGGGCGAGGGCGAGGGGTCGCCTGCGGCCCCTTGCGCCGAAGGGCGCGCAGCAGTGCCAGAGGGGGCGCAGCTGCGGAAGAAGGGGGGGGGCCTCCGACACGCTCGGCACGTTGCGCAGCACGGGCGCGCGGTGCACGGCGTCGAGCGACCAGCGGCACCCCTGCGGCGGCCGCTCCTTCAGCGCGGCCAGGAAGGCAGCCGGCCGCTTGCAGCCTGGCAGATCCAGGAACGCGCTGTGGTCGAACCCGCCGGTCTCGCCGAGGCGCTCGTGCTCGCGCGCGCTCGGCGCCAGTGCCCAGCGGGGCGGCCCCCCGGCCCCAGGGGCGGGCGGCGCGATCGGTACTGGCGAGTGCCCGATCAGGTTCCCGGGCCAGAGATACTCCACGAAGTCGACCAGCGCGCCCACGGCCCCCCCGAAGCACTCCAGCCACAGCTGGCAGCCGAGCAGCCCCATCAGCCCAGCGAACGGCAGCGGAGCGCGGCTGTGGACGGGGAGCAGCTTGCGCCACCCCTGTACCGCCCGCCAGGCCCGCGGCAACCGCTTCTGCGCGCGGAGCTCGGGCCACGGCCACTGCAACGCCGCCAGGAACTCGGGCCCGTCGTCGGCGAAGCGGCCCTTCTGGCGGACATCGTAGAACCACAAGGTCACGGCCACGCCGAGGGACTGCTGCCCCAGCTTCTCGCCCGGCCGGTCCACGTAGTCCCGGCGCCGGCCCAGGCGGCGCCAGTGGCCCTCCAGGGTCGAGGGTCGCCCGGAAGGGAGCCGCCGCCCGCTCCGCGGCAGGCGCTGGGCGATGGACGCGCCCTAAACGGAGCAGTCGGCACTCCTCGTCGCCCGCTTCTTGCTCTGCGTCACGTGCTGCCTCGGGGCCAGGAGGCTCACCTGGCTGCCAGACGTCTTCGGCCCCGTCGAAGCCGCGGGCCTCCTCTGGGCCGAGTGGCGCCGAGCCCCGGGACGCGGAGGAGCAGCCGCAGCCAATGTCAACCTCGTCGTCGGAGTCTGGGCAGAGGGAGTGAAGCGCGGCAAGCTCGAGCTCTCGCCGCAGCGCCTCACCTCCTGCCCCAGCCTTCCGCCCACGCAGACCCCGGCAGGCATCGGCCAGCCGCTCGAAGTCGATGCGACTTGGAGCCCGGCGCCCCCTCGATGGGGCGCCCGCGGGGTTCAGCTCGCCGGGCGCCAGGTGGACGTGGAAACGACAGACGCTGAAGAGCGACAGGGCCGCGACCTCCCTGCGGGCGGGAAGGAGGCGCCGGGGTCGCGCCCAGCCTTTTGCCAGCGACAACGCTAGAAAGCCAGATTGTCCACGAGGAAGAGGGCGCGCCGACAGTGGTGAGATTGAGAATGAAGGAGGCGTCGAACGGCCATGACCAACGCCCTGCCCACCACCCTCATGACCCCCCCCCCTCCTCCTCGCGCCAACGCCCCAGAGCGCGCCGCTTCCCGGGGGCGTTAGCGACCGCCGTTGCAGGCACGTCGTCGAGCAGCGCGGCCTCGCGCCCCCCCCCCCCCCCAGGGCCTCGCACCCGCAGCCGACCGAACAGAAGGGTCGAGGCGCAGGTCGTCGAGGCCGAATCCGAAGACATCGGGGCGCCAGACGTGCTCTCTGGCGTCGATGGCCTCCTCCGCCCGAAACCTCCACCTCTCATCGCGTCGCCCCACGAGCGCGGCGTCGGAAACGTCCCACCGTGCGCAGCACACGCCGAAACCCGCGGTCGACGCGTCGCTCACGTGCGCCAGCTCACTCCAGGGCACGCGCGCGCAGTGCGACAGCATCGGCAGCAGGTCGCGGATCCACCGCAGCTCCCGGCAGACGGCGGGCCACAGACAAGCCACTGCATTCAAGTGGCTCTCGGCGAAGCTGTAGCAGGCGTCGACGATCGATACGGCCTCGCGACGCAAGGGACTCGCCCAGGTGAAACGACCGATCAGCTCACGGATCCCCCCGCCGCTCGCCTTCCCGTCGCCCAAGGCAAAATCGATGGCCAGCCTCGGCCTCCAGCCTCGGCCAGCCTCGGCCAGCTGACCCCGATGACGCGCCTGCCCCCTCGAAACAGAGCCCGGTCAACTCACGGGACGCCGACCCAGGGGGCACATCGCGACAGCCAAAACCGAGACTCTGTAGAACGCCCCATGCCTCAGAAACCCGAGACGCGGCAAAATCGGGGCCCAATGAGGCAACAGCGAAATTGTCTACATACACTGCGTACTTTACAAAACTGCTGGAGAAGCCCCCGATCCGACACCTCGCCCTCGCTGCCATGGCCAATCGCGCGCATTCCTGCGGCGACGGCAGCCTGACAGAAGAACAAAGCCCAAGACCAACCCATGGGCAGGACGCGGAGGCGAGGCGACCAGGGGGGGCCGAGCCGAACGCGCCCCTCGGCCGTCAACCCAGGGATCGAGTCGGTTTGACAGCGGGCACAATGAAAAAGTCACACATTCCGGGCCCCAGGGCGATCCTGTAAAAGGCGGCCTGGACGTCGCATTGCGCTATGTGAACCGGCCGGCCCCCTTCGACTTCGACGCGCCCCCAAGACCTACTCGCGGGCAACGCGGTTTTCGACGGGGGCCGACAATGTGAATTAGCAGCACGGGCGCCAAATATCACGCGAAGAGAGGGAGATTTTCTCGTCGGAAGAATATTCCCACGGCGGCAGGACGAGCGGCAGCGAAGTCCACAATGCCTCTCACACGGAGGCATCCGAGAAACTCGCCGTGCACCTTTTGTCTCTTCACCAGTCCCGGGTCGGAATAGATGGAGGAAGATGAGAAATCCACGCCGGAGTCGGCCCCGCAGCCCTCCTCGCGGAGCAGCCGGGATCTCCACTCCGTCCACAGATCGAGCTCCCAGCCACGAAGCACAACATACAGGTCTCCCGGCTCGGACGAGGCTGGGGGCAGCGAGACAGCGCCCGCTCGGTGCGGAGATGGAAGGCCCGCGGCGTCGGCCTCGGAGGCGTAGCTGGCGCGGGCGCCGCAGAGCTCCCGGAAGGCTCCCGCGGCGTCACCTGTCGAGCGGGGGAGGCCCGACTGCCTGGTAGAGAGCCTTCATTCGCTCGAGACAACCGAGCTGGCTGGCTGACAGACGAGCTCCTGTTGACCTGTCTCCGCCGCCAGGGTGGCCAAATAGTTCGTTAAGTGCAGAAACGCCTCGCTTGCACCAGGACTGCCAATGCTGCTTGGCCTCCGCGCGTCTCCTCACCGCGCGGCACGCCGAGCTCTGGCGCCCGCGTGGAGGAAAAGTAAAGGACAAGGGGGGGGGCTCGCGCGGCGGGCTCTCCGAAATGCTACCGCCCGGCATCTGGCCAGGCACGAGGTAGCTCGGGCCCCGCGCCAGAGCGGGCGATGGGCGGCCGAAAAAGAGGGCGGCGGCCTGGCCTAAGCCGACGCCTGCGCTCGCTGGACGAATCTCCATCGCCCTCGAGAGAGAGCCTTTCGCTTCTCAAGGGCTTTCATGCGCCCCTTCATGGCCTGGCACTCGTACGAGAGCTTCTTACCAACTCAGGTCCCCAGCTCCGACGCAACGCGGAGCATGCCACGAGTGGCTGGGCTCCCGAGGTAAGGGTGGGCGTCGTCGAAAGGATCAGCAACAACGGCTGCCTTGCCGAGGTTCTGGGAGCCCCGGTTGGTGAACTTCTTGCTGCGCTCCAGCTCTATCGGCTGGGCTCGGCGGCAGGCGAGCTCCGCCCGCGCCAGCTGCAAAAGGTCGAGCAGGTCATACTCCGCCTCGAAGTACAGCAGGCCCGTGACCATCGCGAGCTCGATGGCGCCAACGTCCGACAGCTGCAGCTTCCCGTATACGAAGAAGCGCGCGTGGCGTTGCTCGGGAGTCAGGAAGTGCTCTGCGACGGCGTTGAGCACGAACAGAACCATGCGAGGGTCGTTGAAAGGCCACTCATCCCAGCTGGATTCCGGCAAGGCGTCCCCGACCAGAGGGTCCAGCCTGGGGTTCCCAATCATCTTCAGCGGATCCTTCAGCCAAGTGCCGTTGTCGGCCCTGGTGCCGAGGGCCCGCTGGCCGCGTCCCGCCAGCCCCCACGCATCCACGATGTCATCCTCGGCACACCTCACCGGCGGGGGCTGCGGCACTGCGTCACCGACCGAGCTCCTGAGGGTCGACCGCCACTCGTCGGCGCATCGCGCCCAACGATCCTCGGTCACCCGCTCCACATGGACCGACGTGGCGCCGTTGAGCGTGGGACCCTTTGTCTCGCAGGACACCTGCGGCTCTCCGGTCTCTGCGTCGAGGTCAACTCCGTTCGTCGGGTCGGCCACGACCTTTGCCCCAGGCTCGGCCGCCTCTGCCGGTGGCGGCAGCAGCGGCCCCGCGCGGCAGCAGTCGGCAGCAGGTGCGACTCGGCGGGCTCGGCCCCGTCGCCCACGGCGTCGCCGGCCGGCGGCGTCGCCGCGCCTCCGACGGCCTCCGCGTCGCCAAACTCGACCGTCTGCTTCCTGCGCAGTCGCCTGGCTGGCACGATGGCCGCGGGAACCCTCTCGGACGGCAGCTCGCTGACGCCCAGCTTGTTGTGGTAGTCCTCGCCACGCTGCACCAACTCGTGCACCCATGCGGCTTGGACGTCCCCGTCCGTCGTCCTCCCGTCGTACAGGGGGTAGGCGTCGCCCTCCGCATCAGCCGCAGGGAGCACCTGCCCGAACGTCATGCCGAGGATGTCCGAGAACATTGTGCAGTCACGGTACACCTCGTCATAGCTCTCGAGAGCTGGCGCTGCGATGACCCAGTGCACGAAGCTCAGAGCGACGCACCCGATCAACCGCCGGTCGTGGTACCGGCCATCGCCGCGGTACGGCAGGTTCGTGTCGTGTCGACCCCGGCGCTGGTTCCCGACACCGCGTGGATCGTTCAACCTTGAACGATCGGCCGTTTCCGAAACGTGCGATCGTTCAACATCCACCGATTCTGGGTCGCCACCAGCGTTCAACGTTGAACGCCGGCGGCGGGGTCGCCGCCAGTCGACACGACGCGAACCTGCCGTAGCTCACCTGCTCCCGATCCTCAGGCCGAAGGGCGAGGAGGCCCTGTTCGAGAGCACGGCATGGGCACGGATCCGCTCCTGCGCTGCACGACGCGCCGCGGGAGGCCGGCCACCCGCTTCCGCCGCCGGGGGCGGGGGCGCGGCGTCAGCGCACCGCCCGGTGGCCCACAGGCCTGCCTCAGCGCGGGGGCGAGGTGGACGTGGCACGCCCCTGCGCCACACGCCGCGCCCAGGAGGCGCGCGGCCGTCGGGGCCGCAGGCCCACGGTCCCCGGCTGGCCAGCCGGGCAGCCGCAGCTCCCGCACGTCAGCGGCGGGCAGGTCAGCACCGGGGTGGCGCAGTTGAGCTCGGCCAGCGGCTCGGCGACGGACAGCCCAACGACGGGCAGGGCGGGCAGACCTCGCACGTCTGCGACAGCACTAACGCGGCGGGCGGCAAGACATCGCGGACAATGGAAGGATGTCTCTGACCTGATTCATCCACCGAGCGACTTGAGCACAAAGATGGCACCGTGCGGCGGTGGCGAGAGAGCTGGACTGATACCAGGATGCCCGTTCGCAGAACTACCATATATAATAAATGTACATATGCATACATGCATACATACATACATACTCACACATACATACATACATGCATACATGCATAAATACATACATGCATACATGCATGCATACATGCATGCATGCGTACATACATACACACGTGCGTGCGTACGTACGTACGTACATTCATACACACATGCACACCTACATACATAAATACATGCATGCATACATACGTGTATTCATACATACAGACATACATACATACACACATGTATACATACATACATACATACATACATACATACATACATACATGCATGCATACATGCATGCATGCATGCATGCATACATACATACATACATACATACATACAAATATACATACATACATACAGACAGACAGACATGCCTACATACATGCATACATGCATACATACATACATGCATGCATGCATGCATGCATGCATGCATACATGCATGCATGCATACATGCATGCATACATGCATGCATGCATACAGTCATACATATATGCACATACATGTACATGCATATACATATATGTGTGTATACATATATACATGCACACGTACATACATGGATGTAATGATGCATATAACGATACATGTACATATGCGTGAACCTATACATCTACATACATACATACCACACATACATGCATACCTACA